TTTCTTTCCTTTCTTTTCTAAGACAGAGTCCCACTCTGTCACCCAGGCTGGAGTGCAGTGGCATGGTCACAGCTCACTGCAGGCTTGACCTTCTGTCCTCAGGTAATCCTCCCACCTCAGCCTCCCAAGTAGCTAGAACTACAGGCATGTGTCACCATACCTAGCTGATTTTTTGTTTTGTTTTGTTTTTATAGAGATGAAGTCTTACCATGTTGCCCAGGCTGGTCTCAAACTCCTGGGTTTAGGCAATCCTCCTGTCTTAGTCTCTTAAAGTGCTGGGATTACAGGCATGAGCCACCGCACCCAGCTTATAAGTGTTTATTTTAAAAGCATTTTTTGGGCTGGGTGTGGTGGCTTTTGCCTGTAATCCCAGAACGTTGGGAGGCTGAGGCAAGATGATCATTTGAGCCCAAGAGTTCGAGACCAGCCTGGGAAACATAGCAAGACCTTGTCTTTATAAAAAAATAAAATTAGCCAGGCATAATGGTACACACCTGTATCCCAGCTACTCAGGAGGCTGAGGTGGAGGATCACCTGAACCCAGGAAATGGAGGCTGCAGTGAACTATGATTGTACCACTGTACTCCAGCCTGAATGACAGAGCAAGCCTCTACCTCTAAAAAATAAATAAGTTGGGCAACCCCCTCAGGTCCCTTCCCACTATGGGAGCTTTTGTGTCCTCTCAATAAATCCTGATTTTAAATAAATAAATAAGTAAAACAAAAATCTTTTTTTGTGAAAACCTGAGATTAACTCTGCTCCTCCTTCTGTGTGAAGCCCTCCCTTTATTTGAAAACTGCCTCTTGCCACCTGCCTCTAGTGGTCGTTGCACAGTAAATGGGAACAATCTAGTGACACAGCTCGGGAACAAGTTGCTGATGTCATGGCCTCCCCTGGGCCAAGTCTCCGTCAGGTCCAGTGTCCCTCCACCCTCTCCAAGGGTGATTTGGCATCTAGACCTGTGCTGACCGGTATGGGTTGCTGCTGGCCACGTGTGGCCAGTTAAGTTTAAGTGAATTAAAGTGAAGGAGAGTGACCTGGTCACTCCTCGGTTGTACTGGCCACGTTTCATGTGCTGAATGCAGCCTGCAGCTCCCACGTTGGGCAGCACTGAGGGGGAACGTGATCATTGCCACGGGAAGTCCTAGTGGACCCTGCACCAACCTGGCCCCCCTTTGATGTGGAGACCCAACAGATCTGCCAGGCTGTGAGGCTCTTACCACTTTGGGTTCTTTCTTTGCCTTCCAATAAAATAACCCACCAGATTAAAATAGCCTTCTCCCCTGCACGCCCTGACCCCACTACACAGCAGCCAGGGCTAGGTGGCCTGGAGGTCCCCCCAGTCCACCTGGGGTGCTTCCTGACACCCACACCTGAGCTCACCTTGCAGGCTGGGGGGCATCCCTGTTGGAGTGATCGCCGTGGAGACGCGGATGGTGGAAGTCGCGGTTCCTGCTGACCCTGCCAACTTGGATTCTGAGGCCAAGGTGAGGGGCCTGGCACTGCAGCTGCCGATTCAGGGTGGGTCCTGGGCATGGTGGTCATGTCCGTGCCTCACCAGCTCCAGGGGAGGAGCCGGGGCAGTTGCGGTCCTCCCTCAGGGGCCTCCATGCGTGTCTCTCTAGCTCCTTCTCTGTGAGCTGCCCTGTGTTCGGTGCCATCCTCCTCAGCAGATGATAAAGCTCCCTTGGAGCCCCTCCTGCCTCCTGCCCTGCTGTCCTGGTGCTGTTTCTACGCTGGGCCATGGCACATGCTGGGAAGAGCAGAGGCGGGGCTGGCCTCAGCTGGCTGAGCACCCTCTGAGCATGTCCACGGGGACTTCCCTGGGCTGCAGTGGGGGGGCCACGCTGGGTCCTGAGCAGACGAGCTCAGGCCTCCTTCTGGGTCCTGACGCTGGTCCTCGTGCCAGGGTGTATGGGATTGCCTGTGCTCCAGGGACAGGTGACTGTCCCTGCCCCCCAGGCCACTGATGCATGGACGCGCCTGATCCCCGTGGCCCTGTGTTCCAGATCATCCAGCAGGCCGGCCAGGTGTGGTTCCCAGACTCAGCCTACAAAACTGCCCAGGCCATCAAGGACTTCAACCGGGAGAAGCTGCCCCTGATGATCTTTGCCAACTGGAGAGGCTTCTCTGGGGGCATGAAAGGTGAGCTCTGTCCCCAGCCCACTGTGCCTGGCCTGAGGCCTGGGTCTTCTAGATCTTCACCGTGCCTATCAATAACCCTCGGGAAAGTAGGTAGTTCACACACCATCACCCTGTTTTTTGTTTAAGCTAGAGTCTCCCTCTGTCACCCAGGGTGAAGTGCAGTGGCATGCTCACGGCCACTGCCACCTCGACCTGTGGGGCCCAGGTGATCCTTCTGCCTCAGCCTTCTAAGTAGCTGGAACCACAGGTGTGCGCCACCACGCCCAACTAATTCTTGATTTATTGGAGAAACGAGATCTCACCAAGTTGCCCAGGCTGGTCTCGAACCCTGGGCTCAGGCAGTCCTCTTGCCTCTGCCCCTCAAAGTACTGGGATTACAGGCTTGAGCCGCCACATCTGGCCTGTCACCCCGTTCTTAAGATTAGGAACTGCTGGGTACAGTGGCTCATGCCTGTAATCCTGGTGCTTTGGTTTGAGGCCAGGAGTTTAAACGAACCTGGCCAACATAGCAAGATCTTGTGTTTACAGTTTTTTTCCTACACATTTTCTTGTTTTTTAATTAGCCAGGCACGGTATCTCATGCCTTTAGTCCCAGGTACTCGGAAGGCTGAGGTGGGAGGATCCCTTGAGTCTAGGAGTTCAGGTTGCAGTGAGTTTTTATCTTGCCACTGCACTCCAGGACCTGGTCTTTAAAAAAAAAAATGTAGACGGAGAAGGAAAGAAAAAAGATCGAGGGCTGGAGGCAAATTGTGACTTCCTAGAGGTCATAGCATGAGGTGCAAGGCAGAGGGCCAGCCCCGGTAGCTGGCAAGCTGCTTGGACAGCCACCTTCCCACTTGTGAGGTAGGAGGCGTGTGTCCCTCTGACTCTCACAAAGGGCTGCCCTCAGCTTCCTGTGACCTCCAGGGCTTTTAAGCCACAGAGCACGTTTGGGGAGACGGTAGCTGGACGGGAGGTGGGCTGACCTGCTGTAAGTCCTTGCCAGCGGAGCGGCTGAGCTTCGGCTTCTCTCCTTGACGAAGGAGAGAAGGCCCACCGATAGAGCCGAGGTCAGGATCGGTGAGCTTATCTCTGGCACACGGTGTGGTGATCGGCGATGCCGTGATGGCAAGTTGTTGCCACATGGAGTGCCGGGAACTTGGCGGAAAAGGAGGCAGCATCACCCGTGGGCAGTGGAGAAGGGTCACCTTATTGTGGGGCCGGTTCCGTGTGCTGGGCGTGGCGGGTCAGTCACAGTGAGGGCGTCTCAGACCCAGCTGGACGTCTGAGAGACTGACCGCTCCCTGGGCCTCCCTCGGCAGATGAGGCCCTCGCTGAGTGAGTGGCCTGTGCGAGGCCACGCAGCCACTTAGAGAGCAGCCTGTGCTCCCGCCTTGCCAAACCTCCCTCTTAGGACTGGGCCAGTGAGCGGTGGGCTTTGCGTGTGAGCGAGTGGGGCTGCAATGTGCCTTACCGGGGGCTGCCGTGCTTCTCAGACATGTATGACCAGGTGCTGAAGTTTGGCGCCTACATCGTGGACAGCCTCCGGCAGTACCAACAGCCCATCTTGATCTACATCCCTCCCTACGCCGAGCTCCGGGGAGGCTCCTGGGTCGTCGTGGACCCCACCATCAACCCCCTGTGCATAGAGATGTACGCAGACAAGGAGAGTAGGTGGGTATCTGCCCGGCCTGGCTTCACCTCTTCTTGTCTCCCAGTCTCAAGGCCCATCACCTCTGAGCCACTGACTGGGGGTCACAGGGGCATCCTGAATCTCTAAAGGACAGAGAGCGCCAGTCTCTCCAGTCTGAAATGAAATTCGTGTGCAATTGGATTTTCTCAGAGGAGTTAGTGGCTGGAGCCCATGGGTGGTGGATAAATGTTGTTTCTTCTTTTATAGTTTATAATCACCTCCTTCTCCACTAAGTTTGCAATCAAGAAATGAAAAAGGAAAATTGAAAGCTCTTGAGCTTCCTGATAGCCAGAATGAAAAGGGAAATATGATGAGTCATTTGTTTCATTAGACTCTGAGTTTCCCCCAGAGCTGTTAGTTCTGGTAGGAGCAGTTTTATTCAGTTTTATAAGGCCTAACCCAGTGCCTGACTAAACAAAGGACTGAATAAATACTTGTAGGAGAGAATACCAGATCTTCAGGAGAGAGAGAACTTCTTGGAACTTTCTGTAGGAAGAATTCATCCCCAGAGCTCTTACAGAAAGGATGACAGCAATAATGTTTGCAGCACAGTGATGCCCCCAAAATAAAAACTACATACTAGGTGGGATGTAAAGGCCTCAAGAGTAGTTCTGCCCAAAACACATGCCTGCCATTCCTATGTTTACTCCTTCCTTCATTCAGTGAATATTTATCGAGTACCTACTGTGTGCCAGGCAGTATGCTAGATATCATGATAGACAGATGGGCCAAGCCTATCCTACCATCAGGGCACTACCCTATGGAGGCTGCTGAAATCCGTCCTGTAGGAAGACTCAGGATAGTGAGCGGCACTCGAATGGGATCTTTGTTAATTTTTCACTCTGGCCATCAGGAAGCTCAGAGCTGCCTATCGTCTTTTTCAGGGCTTCTCTAAGCTTTCAAAAGCAAAAGGGAGGCAGAGGGAGAATGAGAGGTGAATGAGAGGGCTGGAAGGGCAGCTCGGACAGGGCGACGCTGGGCTCTCATCGTGCTTTTGTGGGCGGAAGAGATCAGAAACAGTGCCTGGCTCTTGGACAGCAGAAATTAGAAAAGCCAGAGAGGACTGTAACCGGGAGTGGGAGGGCGATGCTGTCACGGAGAAAGCTTGGGCCTGAAAGGGTCCTCTGGAGTCTGGAAAGCGCTATTTTCAAAAGTTGGCTTGGTGCTTCCTTCTGTGGATAAAACACAGAGGCCCAGAGAGGGGAGGTGACTTGCCTGAAGACACACAAGAGCGCTGAGAGCTGACACCTGGCGCGCCCAGCCCTCGTGCCTCCAGTTCCCCTTCACCCACGAGCTGCTGCTGGCAGACCGTCCCTCACCCACCCCCATCCCCACCTCTCATTTTTTCAGAGGGGGTATTCTAGAACCTGAGGGAACGGTGGAGATTAAGTTCCGGAAGAAAGATCTGGTAAAATCCATGAGAAGGATTGACCCAGTTTACAAGAAGCTCGTGGAACAGCTAGGTAAGAGGGTCCCAAGGGCGTCACCTCTCAGAGGGTGAGAGAGGCCAAGTTGGCTCCATTGCTGGAGGTTTCTGTACTTGCCTCCTTCCCAGGGAAGTCTACAATCAAAAAATTGAAAGGAAAGACCCAGTGCTCCTGAGCTTCCTAGTAACCAGCATGAAAAGGGAAATATGATTGGCCATTTATTAATATCTCTCACTAGACTATGTTAAAAATAAAATGAAGACATACCAAAACATAGCTATAATAATTGTTAGGGTTTTTTTTTTTTAAAGATATTCACTTTTCCTTTTTTGAGACAAGATTGTACTCTGTCTCCCAGACTGGAGTACAGTTGCACAATCCCAAATCACCACAGCCTCCTCCTGGGCTCATGTGATCCTCCTGCTTCAGCCTCCCTAGTAGCTGAGATTACAGACACTCATCACCACTCCTGGCTAATTTTTAAATTTTTTTATAGGGATACGGTCTCGCTGTGTTTCCTAGACTGATCTTGAACTCCTGGGCTCAAGTGATTCTCCTGCCTCAGCCTCCCAAAGTGCTGGGATTGCAGGTGTGAGGCACCATGCCTGGCCTAGATATTCACACTTCTAAACCAGCATTTAAAATATATGTATATATATAATGCCATTGTGAGTTTATTTCTTAGCACACACAAAATACAACAAGTGAAGTATTTTGGGCCAATGAGAAACATCAGAATTTTGGCAGCAAAATGTTCCTTTCGAATTTCCAGTCAGACATAGAGTGTTTTACTAATTTTATTTGAATGATAGTTTTGTTTCCCTTGCACTCTTTAGTTGTAATTAGTTGTAATTCTCCTTAAATGTCCATCTTGGCCGGTCATGGTGGCTCATGCCTATAATCCCAGCACTTTGGGAGGCCAAGGCTAGAGGATTGCCTGAGCTCAGGGGTTCAAGACCAGCCTGGGCAACTTGGCGAGACCTCATCTCTACAATAAAATAAAAAAAGCTGGGTGTGGTAGTGCACTCCTGTAGTTCCAGCTACTTGAAAGACTGAGACAGGAGAATTGCCTAAGCCCAGCAGGTCGAGGCTGTGGTGGCTGTGAGCATGCCACTATACTCCAGCATGGGCGACAGAGTGAGACTCTCATTCAAAAAAAAAATGTCCATCTTGGATGGCTATGTCTTTATAACTGTGCTGTTCATAAGATGTATTGCAATGTGTGCGTGTGTAACTTCCCTGGTTTGGGATCAAGGTAGGGATGATCTCGAATGAGGCAGGAAGTGTTTTCTCCTGTTTTCTGAGTGTGTGTAGAGTTGGCATTATTTTGTTAGGACTTTGATAAGAGGCTTCTAAGTACAAATTCAACTTCTTCATTGTATATATAGGACTATTTGTGTTATCTGTTTCCTCTTGAATGAGCTTTGGTAGTTTGTGTATTTCAAGGAATTTGTGTATTTCATCTAAGTTGTCAAATTGGCAGAGTTGCTTGTAATAATCCCTTAGTATATTTTACAATTTATATTAAAGTAAAGACTGGGTGTGGTGGTTCACACCTGTAATCCCAGCACTTTGAGAGACTGAGGAGGAGGACTGCATGAGGCCAGGAGCTCGAGAGCAGTCTGGGCAACACAGCAAGATCCTGTCTCTACAAAAATTAAAAGTAAAAAAATAAATAAGGGTAACCCCCTCGGATCCCCTTCCACTGTGGGAGCTTTTCTGTCCTCTCAATAAATCCTGCAAAATAAATACATAAATAAATAAAATGGTAATTGCTAGCCCTTGATACGCACGGGGTCTGAGAGGAGGGGAGGATTTAAAGTTGCATGTTGAATGTCTTAGACCGTGAGTGCATTTCTGAGATTGTCTAAGCTATCTGATGAGGATAACGTCAGAGTTAAAGCTCAGGCCTCTCGTAGGGCAAGGCCTGTCCTGCAAAAAAAGAAATCCCACTCCACGTGCCCACCTTTCTTGGCCTCCCTGAGGACCTGCCTGGCTTTTCTGCAGGGGTGTTCGAGCTCCCGGAGAAGGACCGCAAGGAGCTGGAGGGCCAGCTGAAGGCCCGCGAGGACCTGCTGCTGCCCGTCTACCACCAGGTGGCGGTGCAGTTCGCCGACCTCCACGACACGCCGGGTCGGATGCTGGAGAAGGGTGTCATCTCGGTGAGCCTGGTGGCCGCCGCCTGGAGCTCAGGGACCTTCCCAAAGTCTCTTGGCCTCCCACGGCAGGGGAGGTTTGGGCTCAGGGAGTATGGCGTGGCCTGGATCGCCCGCCACCGGTGTCCAGGTGACATTGCAGACCAGGGGACTCTAAATACCTGGGTGACGCCAGGTGGTAGTACTGCATTGTAAATCCCCTGAAGATTCTGGTAGGCAGCAGAGCTTGGGAGCCACTAGCCTGATCTGCGTGTTTATGACCACTCAGGCAGTCTGGGCCGGAACTAGGTTTGGAAGCCTTTCCTCCTGCCCAGCACTCGTCCAGCACCGCCCTGATGTCCCGGCCCTGAGAGGACATGCCACGATTGCCCCTCCCGTGTCCAGTCTCCTCGGCGCTCCTTGCCAGAGTGCTCTCCGTCCCAGCTGGCTCAGGCCTTTGTGTGAGCCTGTGTGGGCTTGTGCGGGTGTGTGTTTTGAGCTGGAGTCTTCCTCCATCACCCAGGTTGCCGTGCAGTGGCAGGGTCACGGCCCACCACAGCCTTGGCCTCCTGGGCTCAGGGCATTCTTCTGCCTCCACCTCCCAAGCAGCTGGGACTTGAGGCACTGGCGATTTTTTTCTTTTCCTTTTTTTTTGGAGAGATGAGGTCTTGCTATGTTGCTGGGCTGGTCTCGAACTCCTGGGCTCAAGCGGTCCTCCCACCTCAGTCCTCCAAAATGCTGGGATTACAGGCATGAGCCACCACACCTGGCCTGAGCCTGGGTTTTGTGTCTGTTGAGGTGGGTGCGGTGTGGGTTTGTCTAGGGACACGTTTTCACCGGCAGCCAGCCTAGAGTCCTGGCGAAATCTGTGCTCTGCCCCTCCCCTAGCCTCAGCTTCCCACCTGTGAGATGGGGACAGTCACAGAGCTGCCCCAGGCAGCCACAACTATGGGTGTGGTCAGAGCCAGTGCCCGACCTCTACCCTTTCGGGGGCTCAGGTTGGCTTGTCTACAGGACATCCTGGAGTGGAAGAGTGCACGCACCTTCCTGTACTGGCGCCTGCGCCGCCTACTCCTGGAAGACCAGGTCAAGCAGGAGATCCTGCGGGTCAGCAGCGAGCTGAGCCATGTGCACATCCAGTCCATGTTGCGCCGCTGGTTCGTGGAGACCGAGGGCGCCGTCAAGGTGGGCCTGGCATGGGGACAGGGCAGCGGGCCCTGGCGGTGGGGGTAGGCCGGGCCCAGGGCCGCCTGTCTGGCAGAGGTCCCCTCTGAAGCAGCCTCTGTCCCCCAGGCCTACCTGTGGGACAACAACCAGGCGGTGGTGCAGTGGCTGGAGCATCACTGGCAGGTGGGGGACGGCCTGCGCTCCACCCTCCATGAGAACATTGCCTGCCTGAAGCGCGACTGTGTTCTCAAGACCATCCGGGGGTGAGTGGCTTCTGCCCCACCCCACCCGTGCACGTGGTCAAGTCCCAGGGCCGGCATTTGTGCCCGGAGCAGCTGCTCTTTTCGGCCACCAGAGCCTCAGGGCCCAGCCTTGTGTGCCCAGGTCCGGGGCTTGGGCTGGCCCCAGTCAAGAGACTGCACTCCTGGTGCCAGTCTCCTGACACAGCAGCCAGGTGAGGCACCAAACCTGGGAGGCTGCAGGGAGGCATGAGGTGCCGTCCACTGGCGATCCCTGCCGGTGTCTGTAGACTTTTCCGGGTCCCGGCTGCGGCCACAGAACCACAGAGAGGCCCAGGCTGTGGCTTCATCCCAGCGTGGCCTCTCCAGAGGGCCTTTTCTCCACAGCCACAGGTTCCTCTGGGAAGTGGGGCACATAGTGCCCATTTGGGGGTGACACACAGCAGGGACCAAGAGGGACCGTGGCAGCTCAAGGCGTTCTGGTCCCTAGGCTGTGATTCCTCCTGCCACACAGGACCTTGCCCCCGTGGTGCCCGCAGCAGGGGCTTGGGACCTCTGGCTCCGGGGACGAGGCCCTGTACCCTAGGAGCCTCGGAACTGAGTGGCGGGAATGACCCTGGCCCTTCTCTCCCTGCCCTGCAGCCTGGTTCAAGAGAACCCCGAGGTGGCCGCGGACTGTGTGATGTACCTGAGCCAGCACATCAGCCCCACTGAGCGAGCCCAGCTTGCCCACCTGCTGGCCACCGTGGATGGCCCAGCCTCCACCTGACCCCGGCCCACCCAGCGTTCCCAGGACCACGAGCAAGAGAAACCACGCAGACCTGCCGGCCGACTGCACACCTGCCCTGGGACCACGAGGGCTCGCTTAAAAAGCAATCCTGTGTGTTTCTGCATGGCTGCTGGCCCCCAGCTCACCCCTGTCTCAAGAAGAGGCTCTGGAAGACCCCTTCCAGACAGAAGCACCCTCTTCACCATAGACGGAAAATTTGTTTTGTCTCTTCAGACAACATTTCTGCTGCATCACCGAATTGAATCGAACCAAAACATCCGTTTCCTCCTGCTGCTCAGTGCTGGGCTTGCGCCATCCAGGTGTTCTTTAGGCTCGTTTTATATCACGGAATATTTTATTTTTTTTACTCCAAGACCAGCACTGGATGTAAGCACCTCGTCTATTTTAGCCAAATAAACAGGCCAAGGGAAAAATATATAGACAGGACTCGAGAAAACCTATTTTTGTAAAGATGCTTCTTGGAAATACTGTCCCGTCACCCAGGAAAGGGTGTGAAAGATTTTTTACACAGTCAATAAAACAGCATCTTGGTCCCCAAATGGCCCTAGGCTGTCCCATTGTAGGCCACGCCCAGTGCTCACGAGCACAGTACAGAGGGGAGGCAGCATGAGTGGAACTGCTAGGGTGGAGGTAGCCAGGCACTTGGAGACCGCTTCTATTTAGTTTAGTTTTGCTTTTTTGAGTCAGGGTCTTGCTCTGTTGCCTGTGCTGGAGGACAGTGGCACGCTCATGGCTCACCTCAGCTTCAACCTGCTGGGCTCAGACAATCACCCATCTCAGTCTCCCAAGTAGCTGGGTCTACAGGTGCATACTACGACGCCCAGCTAATTTTTTTTTAATTTTTGTAGAGATAGGGTCTCACTATGTTTCCCAGGCTGGTCTCAAACTCCTGGGCTCAAGTGATCCTCCCACCTCAGCCTCCCAAAGTGCTGGGATTACAGATGTGAGCCACCTTGCTTGGCCAGGGGCTTCTTTTCCATGGCTCACAGTCCTCTGCCTGCCCCTTCCCTCCAAGGGGAACAAGGACTGCTCCCTCAGCCTGCAGGGTGTGCACCCTCCTGCCCCAGTAGGGAGAACAGAGGTAGAAGGGAAGCCTTCACCAGACTCATGGCCTGCCTTGCTTGTGAGTGTCATCACTGTGATCGTCACCACCACCCCCCTTTGAGTCACTGTTGCTTCCTCACCTGTTGACTTGGTCCATGGCAAGATACGGCCCCGAGGGGCACAGGTGTCGGTGATCAAGGACTGGACCGTGATGGCGGTGGGTTTGCTCAGGGGAACTTTGTAATATGCCCACAAGCACCAAGCTCTGCAGAACCTTGGGCCTGCCATCCTCCGGTCCCTCTTGTCGGTGACTGAGTCAGGGTGGTGGGGAAGGCAGAGGGCATGCTTGGCCATGACCTGCTGCTGTAGTGGGCAGTCTGTCTGAGAACACTGTATGTTATGTCCAGCCAGTGTGGAAGCCCATGAGATCATCCAGAGAAGCCTCTGCCAGCTGAAATGCTTGAGGATGTCAAGCTTAACAAAAATAATGATCTGGCCGTCAGCAGTGATAGTCCTGGCAGATGAAGGAAGGTTGTGTGGGAGCCACGAGGGGCAGGAGAGAATGAGTAACCCATTGTTCCGTCCTGAGGCTGGGGCTGGGGAGGGGTCCTTGCTGCTCTGGGAACCAAAGATTTGTCTGTCGGCGTGGGAGGGAAAGACAAGTCTACGCGTAGCTGTTCCCCTGGGGTGGTGGGCCAAGGGCCTCCCAGGGATGTGCAGAATAAAGTGTTTTTTGAGGAAGCACTTTGGCTTTGATGTATCATCTGGACCAGAAGAGACGGGAGCCTCCTGGGGGTTCCCTTCTGTGTGTTCCATCCTGCACACCACGAGTGGGATCTTAAGTGAGTCCAAGTCTTCTCAGGAGCAGGTGGGGATGCAGGGGAGGGAGTGGAAGGCTAAGACTGGATCTCCCTGGTGGTTTTCAAAGTCCTTCCCTTTTGAAAGCACTGGAAGGCTGTATTTAAAAGATTGCGTGCGACCGGGCATGGTGGCTCATGCCTGTAATCCCAGCACTTTGGGAAGCGGAGGCGGGAGGATCACTTGAGCTCACGAGTTCAAGACCAAGCTGGACAACATAGCGAGACCTCATCTCTACCAAAAAAAAAAAAAATAGCCAGGTGTGGTGGCACATGCCTCTAGTCTCAGTTATGGGAGGCTGAGGTGGAAAGATCGCCTAAGCCCAGGAGGTCGACACTATGATGAGCTGTGGTCATGTCATTGCTCTCCAGCCTGGGCAACAGAGTGAGACCCCAACTCAAAAAAATTACATGCAAGCCTAGTCAGTCGGACAGACACAAAGGGAGTTGCTCTAGGGGGAGGGAGGAGCAAGGAGCGATTGCCCTTCTTTCCCACCACAGCCATACCTATTTTGCTGGGGGGGAAGGTGAGTCTCACAGAGGTGAGAGCATTCTCTGGAGTTACACAGGGACAGAACTGGGAGGTGAATCGGTCCTGGCGACTCCAGAGCCCTGTCCTTTCTTTCGTGCTGGGGGCCCGTGGTGGGAGGCCTGCACTATACTGAGTTAGCTAAACCCTGCCACCACCACCACACTTGTCAGTACACCCGGGCTAATCCATGTTGTCTCCAAAGCACTCGTAACAACTGCCCATCCTCCCTTCTAGACATTTCTACCTCACCAGGGCGGGGCCCATCAGAGTTCTTCATTTCCCCGACAGTGATTGGCCCAGGTACAGGCATATATCTCCAGTAGAGCTGGTCAGCGTCCTCAGGTGTGGCAGATAGGACTGATACAAAGGGAGAACCTGCCAGTGCAGGAGGAAGTAGAGACAGAGATGGAGGGAGGGAAAATCTAGTCCTGTTGCTGGTATTTGGATGCCTGGATCGAGCCATGCCTGCTGTTGGTACCAGGAACCCATACGCTTTTTTGGTGTGTATTTGCACTAGTTTGAATTGGATATGTATCCGTATCCCCAGAGATGGCCCAGTGAGACAGCGGTTAATTCCCATCCACAATGGTACTGTCAAGGTGCTCTACATCCCCAGGCTCCTTGGGAGGAGAGACAAGGAGTTGAGAGTAAGCTGAAATGCAGCCCTCTGTGCTGGGGACGAGGAATCACTGATTAGACTTCGTACCTGAAGGCTACAGGTGCACAGTGCATAGCTCCGACTTTTCATCTGGTTTTAGACCCAGACATTGTAAGATGAGCGCCAAGAAGATGAGAGAGTGAGCCCGTAGTCAGGCAAAGAGAAAAATGTATTAAATGGGAGACACGAGAAGACTGGCTTTAAACCAGCCCCCTTTGTCCTTTATGGGTTCCTTTTATTCCCGTAGCCAAGGTTTGGTGGTCACGTAGCACGCGTAGAGCTGGAAGAAACAGGGAGGCTGGTGGTCACACAGCCTTGAAGAAGCATTTTGGGGGAGATGGTTATACGGCCTTGAGATGCACTCTTTCAAAAAGCAGGAGTCGGCTGCAAAACAGTAACAGGATGCCGTTAATCACCCAGCCTGTGAAGGTAACCTTGAGAAAGCAGATGTAAGCAGTGAGTTATTTTAACAGCCACGCCCCTGCCCCTTCCACCATGTAAGCCCTATCAGAGGTAAGTTGCTATCTGTAGCTAATGATGCTGGAATGTGGCCTGGGGTAATCGGCTGGAGCTACTTTCCCTGGCATGGCTGGCTTTTCTCCCTTGGGGGACTCAATTCCCGGTCACAAGAGGAGGAAGGATCAGAACTCTGAGGGTGAACAGACTTCCTGTTGGGCAGCTCGGATCCAAAGGGAACACTCAGGGTGATAGCTGCCCACTACACCAGCCTCTGGCCTCAAGCCATACATTCCTTGCCTTCAAGGTGGTTGCTACATATACTTATCCTCATTCTTTTTTTTTTTTTTTTTTTTTTTAGAAACAGGGTCTTGCTCTTGCCCAGACTGGGGTGCAGTGGTGTGATCATAGCTCTCTGCAGAGCCTCAACCTCCTGGGCTCAAGTATCCTCCTGCCTCGATCTCCTGAGTAGCTGGGACTATGGTGCACTGCCGTGTCTGGATAATTTTTTAATCTTTGTAGAGACAGAGGTCTCACTTTGTTGCCCAGGTTGGCCCCTAATTCCTGTTCTCAAGCAATCCTCCCACCTTGGCCTCCCAGAGTACTGAGATTATAGGCATGAGCCACAGTGCCTGGCCTCTGTACTCATTTTTGTAGACAAGAAAACCCAGGCTCAGAGAAGAGCAGATTTTTGAGGTCCACATAGCTGGTAAGAGGAGGGGCTGGGCCACAAGTCCTGGCTAGCCCAGACGCACTCCCCTGGATCTTAAGTCCTGAACCTTGGCAAGGGTTGCATCCCCAGACTCAAGAACATCCTACAGACCAGGCGCTGCTGCTGCCCCCGGCCTCCCTGGCTTCCTGGCAGCTTCGGCCAGTTGTCATTCAGCCCCACATCAAAGACCGCATGCGCTCCTGCTGTGTCCACACGGGCGGCTGCCCTCTTTTCTCACACTGAAGTCTTTCCTGGATGGGCAGGCCCCACAGCCCTGAGGACCCTTACGATCTTGCGTGCACAGCGAGCACCTCCACCTCCCGACCGAGAGGCTCTACAATGGGCGCCCAGCAGCCAGGAGCGTGGGCTCGGCGCCCCCCTTCCTACAGTTTTCCTTGGCCTCCCCACTTGATTCATTTATATTTTATTATCTCGTTATCTTGTCTTCAGCTCCAAAAGTCAGCTGGCTTTTTTCCCCAGGGTTGTTTCCCCCTAACATTGTACCCCGAAAACTTCCAGTTGCCAATAAGTTGGAAAATCAACAGCAAGCACTAACCCTCACCTGCCACTCTGATGCTGGCTGGTGCTGGGATTCGATCTTCTCTCTCCATCTGTCCGTTTCTTATCCATGAGTCCAGTTTATTATTTCATCACATTCACAGTAAATGGCAGGCGTTAGTACCTTTCCTCGGGGTTATATTTGTGAGAGGAGCTAGCTAGAGAAAAGCTAGGCGGGCAGCGCCCCCTGCCCTCAGCCACGTATCGAACTTCCA